CAACTGATAGGAGAATCTTCAAATGACCTGTCCCATACCTGAACAGGGTAACACTAATCTGACCCTTTCCAGCAGAATCATGACTTTCCTACCTCCCCAACGGAGAGGTGAATCATGCTGCTCTTCAAGGCTTATGAGGTTCGAGATTTGCCCTTAGAGGCTTAAGTTTTCATGGGGTACCAACACAGTGTTTTAACAGTACAGCCATCACCCGGGTGCTGTAGAAGAAATGGTGTCCCCTCACGTAGCTTAATACTAGGTCTGCAGATCATTTTTGCTTCCCAGTGAAGTCCATCAAATGAAGATCATGGCAGAAGACTGGAACACCATGGGTGTGGAAAACAGACCTGTACTCACTTGAAGCAACACAACACTTTCTAGAAAATACACTAAAAGCATGAAGACAAGAAACATAATTTTCTTGTTTTCTATAGAAGATACTTGCTCAGGACTAACAGATTTAGTATGAAGAGTGAAGCAGAATATCAAATTGCAATCAATATGCTCCAAGCCTCCATCTCAGTAATTCCTCAATTTACAGGTATTTAAATACAGATGTTAGTGCCATGTTACTGTAGACTTTAAGATCGAGTGTATTTAAGGCAGTGTTGTCCTCAGAGGTCTCCAAACAAGGTATTATTTAAGATCACTATGGAACATCCTAAATACACAAGAAGACAAAAACCTTCATGGGCTCTATGAGCCAGTGTACATGGAACATATTCCTGTCCCTTTTGGCTGCTGGTACATCAGCAAGCAGGAACTTTATTTCTTGCAGTATAAGAAAGATCAGCTTTCCAAGCAGAAAGCCTGACTGATTAGTCGCCTGACTAATCTGGTGGCCTTCTACCATGGAGTGACTGCGCGGGTGGATAAGGGAAGAGCAACTGATGTCATCTATCTTGACTTCTGTAAGGCCTTTTGACATGGTCCCACACAAAATCCTTGTCTCTAAATTGGAGAGATACTGGTTTGATGGATGGACTATTCAATGGATAAGGAATTGGCTGCATGGTCGCATCCAAAGAGTTGCAGTCAACAGCTCAATGACCAAATGGAGATCAGTAACAAGTGGTGTCCCTCAGGGATCAGTGCTGTTCAATATCTTTATTAATGACATACACAGACAGGGGTACTGAGTGCACCCTCAGCAAGTTTGCAGGTAATACAAGCTGAGTGTGCAGTTGGTATGCTTGAGGGAAGGGATGCCATCCAGAGGGACCTGGACAGGCTTGAGAAGTGGCCCAATGTGAACCTCATGAAGTTCACCAAGGCCAAGTGCAAGGTCCTGCACCTGGGTTGGGGCAATCACCAGTATCAGTACAGACTGGGGGATGAATGGATTGAGAGCAGCCCTGCCGAGAAGGACTTGAGGATATTGGTAGATGAAAAATTAGATATGAGCGAGCAATGTATGCTTGCAGTCCAGATAGATAGCCAATAGTATCCTGGGCTGCATAAAAAGAAGTGTGGCCAGCAAGTTGAGGGGGGGTGATTCCCCCCCACCACTTCACTCTTGTGAGACCCCTCCTGCAGCAC